TTTTTTTTCCCCACAATGATGCCTCTTGTACTTCGCCTTATTATCTTCTGGGAGATGCCTGTGTCATTTCCGGTCAAAAAAAAATTTGCTGGTTGAATAAAAATAACTAAGTCAAAATTTGCCAGGGGTATGAATAATTTCGGGCTTCACTGTATATAAAATCTATGTATAAGAATGTCTGCTAAAAACGATATTAAAAGATATTACAAGTAGAAAAATTGCTGTACCAAGTGTTACTGACGTCGATACTGTCAATAGAAAAGGACCAATAGAATGGAGCAGCCTCACATAAGCCTAAGGTCACCATGCCCAACGCCAAGCATCTGTTAGAAGAGGGGCTGTCAGATGTCACAGATGACGATATGAGAAGTGATAAATTACTATCAAAATAATGTGCAGGATGTGCTCTGGCTGGATGTAATGCAAGTGCAGACTTTTTTTTTTTGGATGTGTAAACAAATCTAACCTCTCTTTCAACCACCATTTAAACAAAAAGCAAAATGAAAAAATTACAACAGCATCATTTACTATTCTGCAAAAACAGAAATGAAATACCAACAACTACTTACATGAGAACTGCAAGCGCATTTCTTGTGCACTGAAGGACTGAGAAACTTCTATAAAGGCTATGAAACCAAATAAATACATATTTTTTATATAGGCACAGAAGAACAAACACATTCTTGTGTAATTTTATTTTTATGTTTAGTTATAAAACACAGCGACGTCAGACGACGTTCTTGCTTTTGGTTGAGTACAGTTAGGCACCGTATTCTTAGTTGGTCAGGGGCTCTTATTTTAAAGGACTCTGGGGGGGCATAGGGCAGCAAGTGTCAGTAGATCAGCTGGCTAGCAGGAAAACAGTAGAGCCTGAGCAGCCTGTGTGCTGCTTCTTTTCCCCTTTGCTGCAGCTGTTTTGAGTTGAATTTCCATTAAAGCAGAGTTTTGGGCCGATGTTTTAAGGTCTCCGTGTGTGTTCTGTAGTTGCCATTTGGCCAAATAGATAAGTTACTCGTCTTCTGCAAGGGAGAGCAGGTTCAGTGCCAGTGCAGAGAAGAAGGCTCATAACGGTTTGTGCCGGTAATGTAATGATGTCTTTCAGGTGCTGCGTGTATGAGATAATTATATCTGTTTGGTCATTGGCACTTTCGCGGAAACTCATATCGCAATAACAAAAATATGATTTATCGTGCAGCAGTAGTTAGAGGGGTATAAAGCCTGCCAGCACTGAGCTGTGGGGCAGTGGAACTGAGTTCTCTAGAGTGATGGAGCTCCATCCAGTACCTCTGGGATGAGTTGGAGCGGATATTGTAATTTAGAACTGATCATTCAGCATCAGTACTTGACCTCACTAATGCGTGGATGAATGCAATCAGATCCTCACAGCAATGTTGTAACATCTAGTGTAAAGCTTTGGCAGAAGAGTAGAGGCTGTTACTGCAGCAAAGGGGGACAAACTCACTATTAATACTCCGACTTTGAGAAGAAACACTGGATGAGCGGGAGAATTTCTTATGGTTCGAGAAGGCCATGCAGACCAGTATGACGGAGTGTTAGTTTTACTGTGTGTGTGTGAGAAAAATTTCCTAAGAAGAGTAGGGGTCACTGAGGGTCACTGACCCAGGTGCTCTTTGACAAATTGAGGCTGGTAGTGGTTAAGAGTTCAGACCATGAACCCTGCTTTCCCCTCAGCACCGTCTGGAAAGGAGTGTGAGAGTGTGTCTGATGAGTGAATGTGGAAAAATGACACAATGAGCTAGCTTGTACAGTGTAATGTAGAAAATCTTTAAAAATGTCCAGTCTAGGCTATGAAAAAACTCAGGGACCCTTCAGCTAGCTAATTTCTCAGCAAAATAGCCTTTTGATACAAATCATTCATTTTTCAGTGTCAGTATAAACATTTAACAGATGATTAGACAGATGCTTCAACAACTGAATATATGTTTCAGTATTTACTGAGTCCTGTCTTTACCTTTATTCCAGCTGCCATTATTTTCAGACTTAAGGTTTCAAAAAAATCTGCAGGGGTATTTTTCCACACATACAAAGTTCAGTCTTAGAAGTTGGTTGCATTTGGTTGCAAGTTGGTTGGTAGCTTCTCATGACCCAAGCAATCCTGAACACATTTATTAATGACGTCTGGACTCTGAGAACACCAGCAGCTTCTCTGATATGCATGCAACAAACTCTTGTTTTGTCTATGTCCTTTTCTAAGTCAGGGTTCTTGACAGCTACACATCCTTTCAGACCCATAGCGCTGAGTTGTCTCACAGTAGAAGGATGGACAGAAACATCTGTTGGTTTCTTCAGATCTGAAGCAGCTTGATTTTCTCCTCTCTCTCTCAAAGATGAGAGCTCATCTGATAGGGACAGGTATGATGGTCTACCAGGTCTTGCATGGTTGTTATAAGTCCCATTTTTTATGTATTCTAATAATTTTATGAACTGTTTTTTCCCCCACTCTATTTTGCCTTGACTTTCTCTTTCCTTGTGCAAATGGATTATCTTTTATCTAATCTCCTCAGAAATATATCCTGAAAAATGAATAACTTGTACTTAATGGCCATTTTGACTGGAAACTAAAATGAAGACTGATGTTTGTACACTACTGTATGTCATACTCAGTGGCTTTGTTCTTATTTATGCTTGTTGGTTGATTTTTTTTACAAAATATTTTCTCGCTGGGACATTTGCTGTGCGAAGTGTGGCAATATGGTTAAAATGCTCATCTCTAGTAGTGTCAGGGTCAGATGACCCTAAGCTTGGCTTTCAGACCCTGGGTGGTGGGGGGGTCAGAGAGAGACAGATTAAGGTGACGTAAGGTTAGGAAAATCTCATGCTCGGTGGAGCTCCAGGGGTCATGACACATTAGCTGGACTCCACTAAGTGGTGCTGCATCCTCTGTTGGCTAATCACAGCCAGACCACCCCACTTCACCAACCGCCACAGAGCAGGATGCCTCCGTCATTTTGATTTATACACTAATGACTCTCACTCGCTCAGGAGAACTTAAACCGCTTCTCAAAAGAGAGAGACAGACAGACCGATTCTTTCCGACCAGTGAGGTAAGGAATTTCAGGAATGTCCACGTTTAATTGGGAGTCAATCAGTGGGAACATAATCTTCGGTTTAGGCCACTCGACAGATTTGGGGAGCAACCATGTGCCCGTTAAACTTCATTCCTCCAATACGTCTCCCTTTCTTGTTAATTGCAATTATTGGGCTGCAATACTAATAACAGAAAGCTACAACATGCAAATGAGCCTTCTAATCCAGCAGTTAGTCTAAAGTCCTCTTTGTCGATATTAAGTGCCACCCTTCCTTGCTTCCCACTGGTCTCCCCGCAAACCCCTTGTCCCCACACCGCCATTCATTCATTTTACTGAATGAACCAGGACAATGTCTTACCAGAATGTTGTCCATAGCTTTCTCCACAGCTATCGCTGAGCTGGTAGGATGCTGTTTTATGTTTTATCTAACTCACCGATGCTGGACGGAGTTATCATTTTTAAACATGTGCTACTTTTTAAAATTTGGCCAAAGCAGATTTAATAAACTGACAGTCAAAAATTACTTCTGAAATTTTTCTGCAGCCACCTGAGTTCCCCCTGTGGCCCTGGCCCACAGCGGTTTGAGAGCTGCTGCTCTAACCAATAAAGCTGGGATCACATATCAGTGTACCAATAATTATCGTGATGGTCGTGATTTTAAATTAAATTTTAAATTTTAATTTTAAACTTTTTTAACCCCCAATAACATAAGTATGAATGAGCATCATCCTAACGTACTGGCTGCCACAAGAGGAAAAGAGCATCTGAGGTGTGGTCATATTTTTTCTTTGTTAATTTTGGTGTTGTTGGCCCCATGAGCACAAATGAAAAATGTCCCAGACATGCTGAATGTTGAATATTGAACTCCAAAATACATCTGGTTTTAAATACTAAAATAACAATTAACAATAATTCTACAGTTTTACCAAACTTTCAAAATTATGACCCTAGCCCTACTTCTAGATCACAATTATTTATTTTAATTTGTTTCTTTTTGGTGTTTTTTTTTTAAACTGTGTGCCATGAGCATCTTTACCCTTTATCATAGCTCCATTTAAGTTTCTGTGGGTGTTTTTATTTATTTTTTTTTTTCCTCAATTAATCAAGGTATTTGTGTATCCCAACAAAAGCAAGTTTTTTTCGGTCAAAATAACAAAGGCTAATTTGCGACCATATCACACTGTTTATTCATTAATACATTTTCAATATATGGAATAACTGAATGAATGAATGAATGAGATAAACATTAAATAAAATAAAAGCTGTGCTTGTTTTTTAGACTATAAAGTATGAGTATAAATTTATATATTAACATTACTTACTATTACATTCCTGTGGTTTGTTTTGCCCTGAGTGCGCTGCAGGTGAAACTGGGAGGTGGAACTGGAACCTAATTGGCTACTGAGACACATCAGCGTTCAGGTGTTTGGGCTTTTTGATGTGGATGTCTGGAGCACTTTTTTCTTCGTCCCTCTCTTCCACATGTAGAAATTTGAGGCTATCTTGGGGTTGATGCTGTCAGGCATCCAGCGAGTTGGCACTGCTGTAGTGGGCTTTAACCATTACTGGTTGGCTCACTTCAGTAGTGCTATTTTTGTGGTTTGCAAACTGTTTTTAAATAACTTTTGCTACATTTTTAAATTACTTTTGCTACATCTTCCACTTGTCGTCTCCTTCAGCTGTTCAGCTGGCTGAAAACCGGTCCATAACAAGGTATTAAGCTTTTTTTAAGAGCAAGCTGAATTTTTTCCAAAATGTTTTTATGGTCAATGTAGACTGTACGTCAGAACACATCCTCCTTCCGCTGGTTAATATTTTCTTTCTTTGGGAAACACTTTGAGCTGCATTTTAATGAAAGGTGCTATATGGATAACGTTAATTATTATTACTATTATTACTAGCATTATTATGTCAGTTTGTACAGTACTTTGTTCAGTGCACCTGGCTTACCTCTGCTCACAAATTCCTCCATTTTGTCCTTAAAGGGCTGCAGGTGCTCTTCAGAGGAGACACTACACACCTTCTCCACCTCAGTAGTGCATGCTGGGTAACAGAACAAGGGCAAGAGGGAGAGAGAACAGGAGATATTTAGCTTGTGGTCAATTTATTGATTTTATGCACACGTACTGTCAAGAGACCACAGTCCTCAAATACAAAAAGACAAGCAGAAAAATAACATTAAAATTAATTCTGAGAAAGACTAAAACATGCATTATCATCACAAACATGCTGGAACAGACAAAATGCACCAGCAAAACATTTGCGCCACATTTAGAAATGATCAAACATCAATTATTATAAACAAATAAATGGTCACACTTTGACAGTCCTCTATAAATTATTCACATATGTTTTAGTTGTTGAACTATCTGGTGAGTTTCAGTGACATTATGACTGCAGACTGAATAAAATCTATTACATTCGACTTAAAGTTCTGTTGCACTTAAGAGATATTCAGTTGAATGTTAAAGAAAAGTTAAGCATCCACAAATAATCTACAGTGAAGTTAAAATAAAGTGTTACCAAATAAACGAATAAACTAGGATGTCGTCATCGGACTTCCTAAGAAAAATAAGACCGTCTCTGAAAGTCAGAAAACTACTGATACTTTAATCAAATACCGCTGAAATACTTGACCGAGAAGTTATTTTCAATAACTCTGGTGTGGAATGCAGCACAGTGGTGAGTAATTACTCCCTGACAGGACTGGTCATTTTTAACGACAACAAAAATTAGCAAGCTGCTTCACAGTTGCTAATATAAAAACCATATGGACGCAGAGTGGTTCAGCTGAACTTTGTTTAAAATATCTGGAAAATTCCTACAGAGAACAAAAGATCTATCTAGAGCAAAGAAACAAAATACAAAACAAAACAAGGACAAATAAAACAACTGTTTGTGCTGTAGGGCATTCAGAGGAACATTTGCTTTCAGTTTATTTGGAAAAGAGAATGCAGTTATGCAGGCTATAAAGCCCTCGGATTGTCAAATTCCTCATCGCTGTAATTACTGGACAGTCAACGAAACAGCAACAATTAAATGACAGAAATCCTTCAGGAAGTTTCAAATGGAAAGATGGCAGAGGTGAACGGAAATCAGAGCCTGACTTCCCTGCAAAAGCGTCTTTGATCATCAAGCAAAACATGGCACAATTACACCAATTATGATCAGAAGAGCAAAACTTAACCTCACTCAATTAGCTCACCCGTAACCTCTCCCTGGCAAAGATCCCACAGAATAAGACAGAATAATGATTTACTACACCTACGCAAAACAGTGGTAAAGCCGTTCAATCATTCCTCTTATTGAACCACACAAGTTAAATGTTCTTTTACATGTTTCTGATTTTTACATTATTCTCCATCCTCTCTTTTCCCTTAGACTTAAAGAGTTTGAGACCACATTAAAAATCTTGTTTTATTTAAACACGAAAATAAAAAAAGATTGAGAATCTAGAAAAAAATGAATTTTCAAGATTCTAAATTATTTCAATGTCATTAATCAAATTTAAGCAAATTAGTGAAATTAACCATGTTTGTGCAAAAAGGTTAGCGCTTTTCCCCCCCCCCTCATTCCTTCCATTGAAGCAAAGGCAAAGTCTCTATTGTATGTAGATGAGCTTTGATCTGATTGGCTGCCCTGAACTGTGCCTCAAAAACAGGTTGGGCTGAAATACTCCTTATAACTTCAGTGCATGGGCAGAGCTAATCTGCTGGTGGCTGAGTAGCTAGATATATGTAAGTATGTTAAATGTTGTGACATCACAGAAACACAGCTTAGTTTGCATATATAGACTGTATGGACTGAGGTGTATAAGCTGTGTTTTGAAATTATAACAATGTTAACATACATCAAGCATTTTATTATAAAGAAGTGAGGAAAATTTGGCTTTCCATGACATGAGCCCTGTAATAGAGAACATAAATTTGGCAAAAAATTTCCAGTTCTGGCAAACTAGAAACAGCCTTATATTTATTGTAATTCACAAAGCAGCAAAGTTGCTTCTTATACACCCTTCACCTGTGTGGTTTACAGAGATTTACATTGGGAGCAGGTTTATTTGAGGTGTCTAACTAACTAAATGACTAATTCCTGAACGTTCATCTAGAATGGGCAGAAACAGGGAGTGTAGCCCAGCGGGGCTGTGACTGTGGTGAAGGATGAGGATAGTGTCAGTAATAGAGTTTGAGGTACTACATGTACTGCTCATCTTTGTCCCTAATGTATTTTTCTGCTATACTCAGTTTTTCACTTTTTCAAGTAAACCCAATCAATATAGTGCTTTTTCCAATAAATAGTCACAAGGCAGCTTTACAGAGGTTGGATCAAAACTCAGATTAGGGAACTGAGTGGTAGAAACATGGGTTAAATGTATGATCACACTGATGCGGCTGCAATAACGTGTGCATTATCAACTGTATATTGTCTAGCGATTGTATATTTGCATCAGTTAAAAAAAATCTATATTATGCCAATATACAATTTCCAAGCAATTTCAAACTATGGTTTCTAACAGTGACTTACTATCATCTATACAAATATTTAATTACACTGGTGGTGGTAAGAACCAGGGGTCACAATGTGTACAGAAGAGCTACAGCCACTTTATTTACTATCCAAAACCACCACTTAATCTACATGTCTTCAGTTTTTACACTGATGAAAAATAGTGACGTGATTATACATACTGTCGCTGTCCAAAGAAAAACAAGTATCTCCAAAATTGTAACTTTACATGAGAAGGTAAAAACACTTATCTTTCAATGTAAGTTAATGTAAAGAGGTTTTATTCCAAGTGATTTTAGAGCATTTCTGTTGGTCCATTCATCATAATCACCTGATGTAAAGGACAGCTGGTGTGTTGAAATGATGTAGAAAAATAACAATCGACAAAAATGGAGATACATGGTTTTCTTTGGAGAGTGATGATATACTATACACTATTTTATCTGAGAACGCCCTGCATGTTGATGTAAACTAATGTTTGAGGCCAAAATTTCTTCCCAAAACTACAGTAAAACAGTGTCTCAGGCATGGGACAGTGCACTGATACCCATTAATGCAATAACTTTGCGTGGGGGAGCTTTCAGAGGTGTTAAACACTTCAAACGTCTGGTTCCTATCACTACTATGTGCTGTTCTTTAGAACGTCCAATTGGCCCACTTCACATCAAAGCTCTCAGAAAGACTTTGCTTACATCTTAACCATTTAATTGGGCAGAAATTTTGAAACATCGGTGTAATTCTTCTTTAATACTAAGTGCTCAAACTTAAGTTTGTCTGCAAATATTCAAGTGACTTAACACTTTCACAAGGCACTTTGTTTGCATTTTCCCTGCTCTGTCAGCTTTACAGCTGAATGACTAAGCTTGTCAGCTCACAAAATTTGCACATCCAATTATCAAGCATCTCCTAAAATAGCCTGGCCTCTGACTGGCCATGACCGGCAGCCGTTTGACCAGAGAGACCTCCGCTTTGTAGCCGGTCTGAGACTGACCCGACTGATTGATAGAGGGTGCAAGGAGGGGAGATGAGGGTTTAAAAGATTGAGTGAAAAGGGGAAATTTTGGTGATGCAGCGAAGGAAGAGGAGCAGGCCTGCTAACTATTTCAAATGTGTTAACAACTTCCAGCCCCATAAACCACTGACCTTGGGAAATAACCTCATGCTTAAAACCCGCATTCAAAGACTTGCACACGACCACGGAACACGGACCCAGCGCTTACATGGGTGTTTACGTATGGAAGTGGAGGCAATTTGGCCAGCAATTCCAGCCTCAAGCGCCTAACTGGAGTTATAACTCAAGCTAGTCTAGGTAGGAATGAGGATTTTTTTCAGCCAAAGTCTCAATTAAATGTCAACTTTTAATGGTATTGCTTCACCCCCCCCCCATACACTCTTGTTGGCCACTAGATCAAAACGACTCATTATATTCCTGCCAGCATATAAAACCTTTAATTGATTTTTTGTGTGGACATTTCAAGGTCACATAGACCTTAAAATAATATCTTTACCCTTAAAATATTTAAACACTGATTTTATTTATATGTTCATGATTTCATGACAATTTAAAAGAAAAAAAATCATGAAATGACAGCAAAAAACAGACAGGTGACAACTTTCTTGCCCTCGTTTAGCGGTTTATGGTTGATAGGCAACAGCACCCTACTCTAAACGAACTACATGTAATGGCAAAATTGTTTATTGGGACTATTATTAATATTAAAAGGTGACAACTAGGTGTGGGTGATATGGTAAAAATATGCTTCAAGACATTTTAATGATACACATCATGATATTTAATAAGTTGGGTTAGAACAGACAAAATACAACCTGTAGTGCTATAATTCATATAAAAAAAAGCTATAATAACTTTTGTAATTATTTTTATTCAGTGTTTTACAAACTGCACAAAACGCAATTAAACAGGTCCAATTAACTTTGTAATGAAACGTGCAGTCAGTCTTCATTTAGTACTGACTGATATCTATGTGCTCAGAAAAGCGCATTGCGACAATTTATGACAATTAAAATGAAAGTCATTATAAAATATGATTAAAAATAAATTAATTCGGTTACGATTAATAATAGCCTCTACAAACTATTTTTCCACCAAGAAATTGATTCACAGTATGCTACTGTTACCAGCCAACCACGGACTGCTGAAGGACCAAAAGAACTTTTAGTCACCCATCACTACTTTACAGTCATTTCATTAGCTTTTACATTTTTTTCCTAGAGTAACAAACATACAGTTGTGTTTAAAAGTCTTTCACTTTAAGTATTTTTTGCTCACCAAATTACCACAGCATTGACAATGCTAATATCCGTTAGCGTCTCTATGTGATTTCCTTGTTTGCGTTGGGTTAGCATTACACCAACAGCGATGCATTTGTTTTCCCACTTTGAACTTACTACAATTTAAGGCAGATCGAACCAAAAAACATGGATAAATTAAGTGTGTAAGACACTGTTACTTTTTATTCAGCAATTTTATAGTGAATTCTTGGAAAAAAAATCCAAAGGAAAGCAGAGTTGCACAATATGACGCCTTCCAGTTTATTAAAAACAGGTGAGTGTAGCCGTGATGGGACACTGCTTTATTTTAACTAAATTTATTTATTCTTGTTGGATCATGCAAATGCCTTGACTCATCTAAACACCCGCGGAAACTCATCTGGAACATCTGAGCTTGGTCAGGATGCTCACAGCCTTACAGCCCCCTGTGATAGTAATAACACAATACTCATTAACAAATTATATACTGTTCAGCTCTAATGAAAACCAGCCAAACTGCTTTTGAGTTTTACGTTCTGGATCGTCTGCTCTCTTTCTCCCTCAGCATCCCTCTTCTACATTGTCTCTATACCTCTTTCACCTAATCTCTGACTCTCTCTCTCCATTTTTCTGTCCCATTCTCTCTCCCCTTTACATTTACTCACTTTCTTCTCTCTTCCTATCCTGCAGTCTTTCTCTTAATCTTTCTTTTATTCTCCTTCTCTGCTTCTACTTGTTCTATTTCCTTCCATGGTCTCTCTTTTTCTCTCTTCCCTTCCTTTCTTCTCTCTGCCTCTTTCTATTTCTGTCTGTAGAGGAGTCATAAAAGAGGTATGGTAGATCAGGCTGGTCTGATTGGAACCTCGTGAGATCAAACAACGTCTGAGCAACAGCCATCAGCCAAAGAGCCACAACCAGCCAGCACACACCTAAACTATCATCAGAAGAGGAGCCACAGCCACCCAGCAAACTGCTAAACTACCAGCATAGGAGCCACAGTCACCCAACAAAGTCCTAAACTATCAGCAGAGGAGCCACAGCCACCCAACAAACTCCTAAACTATCAGAAGAGGACCACAGCCACTCAACAAACTCCTAAACTATCAGAAGAGGAGCCACAGCCACCCAACAAACTCCTAAACTATCAGAAGAGGAGCCACAACCACCCAACAAACTCCTAAACTATCAGAAGAGGAGCCACAGCCAGCCAACAAACTCCTAAACTATCAGAAGAGGAGCCACAACCACCCAACAAACTCCTAAACTATCAGAAGAGGAGCCACAGCCACCCAATTTAGTCCTTAACTACCAGCATAGGAGCCACAATCAATCAGCAAAGTCCTAAACTACCAGCACAGGAGCCACAACTAGCCAACAAATTCCCAAACTATCAGCAGAAGAGCCATAACCAGCCAACAAACTCCTAAACTACCAGCAGATGAGCCACAACCAGCCAACAAATTCTTAAACTACCAGCAGATGAGCCACAACCAGCCAACAAATTCCTAAACTACCAGCAGATGAGCCATAACCAGCCAACAAACTCAAACTACCAGCACAGGAGCCACAACCAGCCAACAAACTCCTAAACTACCAGCAGATGAGCCACAACCACCCAACAAATTCCTAAACTACCGGCAGAGGAGCCGCAACCAGCCAACAAATTCTTAAACTACCGGCAGAGGAGCCACAACCAGCCAACAAATTCCTAAACTACCGGCAGAGGAGCCGCAACCAGCCAACAAATTCCTAAACTACCGGCAGAGGAGCCGCAACCAGCCAACAAATTCTTAAACTACCGGCAGAGGAGCCACAACCAGCCAACAAATTCCTAAACTACCGGCAGAGGAGCCGCAACCAGCCAACAAATTCCTAAACTACCGGCAGATGAGCCACAACCAGCCAACAAACTCCTAAACTACCAGCAGAGGAGCCACAACCAGCCAAACTCCTAAACTACCAGCAGAGGAACCAACAGTCCTATTTATTAAATTAAAATAATACAATTTCTTGTCTTTAAATATAAATGTGGAATTGACAAAGTTTAGCGTCCTCACTCTAACTGAACCTCTCTGCTTGCTTCAATGAGCCACAAGTCAGAAATTTCACATAAAATGGTAATTTTGCATGATTATAAACTACTTATGTCTCATGCTAACTGCAGCATCTCCTCACATATTTCTACTATTTCCTCACACCTTCAGACACCATACACTTGATCAGATATGATCAGCAGGCAAAAAATCCAGAAATTAGATTTGCTCACTCCTGTAGGAATCAGATCCATTTCAATGAGGCATAATGAGCCTAATTTTAACCTCACGGCTCTCCAAACGCAGCTCAGAGGAAGTGACTGTGCGAGAAGAAGTGCTGAGCACTCTGAAGCACTCTCAGACCTAAATGCTTTAGGACAGATGGTTTGGATCAGAATGTACAAGGAGCCTAAATACAACCAGGAGAGAATGGGCTGAATAGGCAACACTCAAAGCTGTTAAGATGAGACAGACACAGACAGGGCTTTAAATTAATGTGAAACATCAGTCCAGAGGAGAGTGGCTCAGAAGGCATGGTTACCTGTTTCAATATAAAACCCTACAGGCTCAATATAGTGTCATAGTGTCCAGTTTGATATAACACGTGCAACAATGAACCACAGAAATGTTATGATATCACCACAATTACTGCAAAGTGTGCCAAATGGGACAAAACGGTAATTATAAATTATTAAACTGGGACAAAATGTACTCAGATGGCTGTCAACGTACTTGGCGTGCCACTCCTACTAGGGCTGAAGAGTTAATCGTTTTTATATTGAAACTGCAATTTAAAAGACAGCTAAAGCTGCGACTTTAATCATATTCCACAAGAGGGGAAAAAAAATAAATAAATAACATGGAGTATGTGGGGAAAATAAAAAAAAAAAAATGCAATTTGATATTTTCCTTAAATTGTTTAGCCCCTATGTGTGGGAAAACACTGTTCCTATTGTCAGAGAGTGTTTTGTTGCTTAACGTTGCCTATTTTGAGAGGAAAGCGTTGTTTAACTGACATCTAAAATAATCAAAATAATAATCCAAAATAATCAACCACAGACTGTGGTGAGTAGGGGCAAAAAAAAGGCTGAAACAAGACCTGGAAGAAACTAATGTGTGGGTAGATGTGTGGGTAGCCAACCAGAATGCAACTGAAAAAGATCCAATAGTTGTGGTCAGTTTGGCCTGCAGTAGATATCAGATATTCCCTGTATGCATACGTGGAGCACTAGAGGCTAAAGCAAAAGTAACAGTTAGTGGACCTCTGAGAGGATTTCATATAATTTATTTGCTACTAAAGAGATGTGAATGTGAGTTAAGCTGAAAATGTGTTTGTGAGTTTAAAATTGATAAATTAGTTTAATTTGACTGAAAAGCCTGAAGATTCTCTGGAAATTTTAAAATGTCATGTTATGTTACTGTTGGACAACAGCTGTTTAAATCACAGAGCACTATGACTGACAAGGATATCAAAATTGGTCAGTTCTTCAGATTCTCGGCCCATTTTTTTTAAATCTGATTAAGACGCTGAACTTTTGATAGTGATTGCTGGACTGATAGTAGACATAATAATACAAAACAGCCCTTTAGACCTGAGCCTGAGATGCTTGAAGCTGTGCTGGAAAACCATGCAGAACAAGCCGACCCAGTGGTCAGAACTGTCAATTCCAACTGTTCCAACCGGCCCATTCGAATTTAAGAGAGAAATACAACGACAAACAGTTATATCTCAGCCTACAAACTCAGATTTGAAATCTAAAAGATGCTTTGTGAAGCTCACAACCCAATGTCCATTTTGAGAGGTCCAAGATTAAGATTTGCAGTGGGAATTTATTAAAAATTTCTGTCTATTGTCTTCTACATATTATTCCTTAAACCAGTGGTTTGAGCTGTGACTTCTTCCCTCTCAACTCACCCTGAAACATGCTGGCTCAGTAGTCTCCAACCCTGGTCCTGGAGGTCTACCTTCCTGTAGAATTTAGTTCCAACCTGCACCCAATAAGCTGCCCCGCCCCTTACTTAACTCTAATACATCTGATCCAACCAATCAGGGACTTGGGAAGAGGTTGATTAGCTGGAGCAGGTGTGGCAAACTGATGTTGGAACTAGGCTCTGCAGGAAGGTAGCCCTCCAGGACCAGGGCAGGAGACCACTGTGAGAGATTTCACTTCCAGCCCAGTCTTATCCATATCATCAGTCCTCTAAATTAGCAACAAGTGTGCTAAATTTGGGCTGAAGCCTAACTCGGGTAGAAGGAACATGTTCCAAGACCACTGCGAGACAAATATCATAGCACTGACTCTGCAGTCATCTTCCTTTATAAACACGTGCTTATAACGGCCGCTACGCCGTAACACACGACAGCTGCCAAAGGCACGGAAGAAAAAGTCATTGCTGACCATAAACAAACAAAACAACAACTTTTTGAACATCCAACAGCTCTTTCACAACACAACTGTCCCTCTGAACGAAAAGTGTTTCAACTACAGAAGGAGAGAAGGGGAAAGGAAGAAAACAGAAGTGAAAGAGTGGTCATGACCCATTCAGCTTTACCTCTCAGATCCTTCCGCAGCTTCAGCAGGTCTTTAGTGAAATCCTCAAACTTCATCTGAGATGCCTGGAACAGGTCCTGCGGCTCCGGTAGAGGATACACGCAAGTCTCGCGACCTGCGTCCTGACAAACACATATATATTAGACGATTTTGGCGACGTCTTATATACTCAATGATAATGAGACAACATAGCTCCAAACAATGAAAAAGTTTGGGTTTCCCAAACAAATTACGTTTTGATGACTTTCTAAGTGAAACTAAGTGAACACGTCCTTTACAGAGAGCACACATCAGCACATTTTACTGCACAATTACTGTTTGCAGAATTTAAGATAATGGGGAAAAATTAAAACATTAAAAAGTGGCCTTTGCAAAGGTTATGGCAGGTTTTATATCTTACATAATTCAAAGGATAACAGAGTATCTTATTTTAGTCACAATTTGCACACCCTCAAATGTTATAAAGTAACCGTGAAGAAAGACAATTAAAAATAAATAAATAAATAAATTTTCCTCAGAAACAAAACAATTCTCCAAGATCTATACATACAGTTCTGAGGACAATGCAAAAGTTAACACACACACACACACAGCATTATTTTATTCTTGTAAGGAGTGGCACTAGCATTCAAAAGTTGGGAAGCACTATTTAAAATAAATAAGACAATATAAATTCAACAAATAAACAGAAATTGTGCAATAAAAAAACGAAAGTCATATTTGTGTTCAAATGTTTGCATATGACTAACTGTACAGAACACTAAAACAGCAGTATTTTTGGCCATTTTCTGTACACGTACACTGTGTGTGTGTCTGAAGTGGCGATGCTATTATAACACTAACAGCCTTGTGGGAGAGCGCTCAATGTTGCATAGAAACGAACAAGACCACAAGTAACAAGCTCAAAACAATCTCTCACACACACTCACACACAACATTCCTCCACATTACACAAACCATTCATCACCAACACAAACTCCTCTGGAGTCAGGAAACTAATTCTGATCCTGGCTATTAAATGCAAATCAGCCAAACCATTCCTGAAATAATTCCACATGAACAAGCAGGCTGTGAAAGTGTGAGTGCGCTAACAGAGAGACTCCGCTAGTTAAGAAGTAAAAAGGCCTGAAGCTGGTCCAGTAAACGGAGAGGATGATCAAAACAATGTTTAAACTGAAAATCAATATTCCTGATTCCTGACAGTATATTTTGGAATGTTCCTCATGAGGTGAAGAGCGAACATTGATAGAAGAAACTGTAACTACCTCATCGAAGTGCCGCAGGTAGTAGGCAACGATGTATGACAAAAGACTTCTGGTGTTGTCCTGGACACGAGAAGAAAGATTACAGATTATAAAACTACAACTCTTTCACAGCTTCAAAAGCAACTTCTACATTAATAATACTTTCAAAAAGCAAATGGCTAAAATATTACCTGAGTGTGAGACAGAAATACTGAGACAGTTTTGTGATTGTTTTTTTAAAACCATATTTTCTTTTTTCCCCCCAGTTGCAATTCTGCCCTCCTTACTCGACAGTCTTAAAAGTTGTCACTTCCACGGATTCAAGAAAGTATTAAGCCGAGAGACGCTGTGCTGTACATTGATTCTATCACAGGTTAAAGGTGTTGTTAGGCACAAATTGTTTATAATTCCCCATTTTGTTATTATATAAGACTTTGCAAATATTACACTAACTATCACACTAATAGACCATGTTGAATTTAACTGAATTTCTGAGGGGGGGTTGGGGGGCAGAGAGGTACTCACGCTGCTTTTGACATCTTTGAGTTTGGGCAGGATGTCCAGTGCAAAGCCGTCAGCCTGTCCCCGGGTTCGATTCCCTCCATTCATGAAGTTTCCAAATGCCAGAACCAGGCCCAGAACCCTCATCACTCCAGAACCGCTCTGCAGAACCTACACTCAGAGTGGCAGAGAAGCATGCTGTTATCAAACTATCAGAGGGGACAGTCATACACTACTGATAACAGGCATGAAAACTGGTGAGGCTGGAACAAGTTCAGCAGCCGAAAACAGCATTAATGAAATGTAAATGGCAAAAACTGATGACAAAATCTAGTCCGTTGTAGCTGATTGTCTTGGTTGCAAACAGCTATACTTTACACATGTTAACCTTCTTTCATCCTCGGTTTGAAAGCTTGTAAAGAAGGTAATCTAAATATGCAACTATAACTAGCATCACTGTTCACTTTCTGCAGGAACCGTTAGTTTATATTAACGACAGCTAATTTCTTCAAGTTGATTTGACAAGTTAATGCTGCTGTAGCTAAAGGCAGATAGACAGTTACAGTCAATGTGAATAGCAAATCAGAACACATTTATTTTTCTTCCTTAATGTGATGTATTTCCGAGTGAAACAAGACACTCTGTGGAAAATAACTATAATCAAAAGCAGGTGTTCTGAAACAAACATCAAATCATACTCTTAGTCACCAGTCTGTTTTGCAGAAAAGCAGAACAGATGTAATCAAAAAACAAAGTACTACAACATTCTGATTGTGCATTTTCTGTATTTTATGAAGCATCATTCATTATTTGTTTAAAGCTTGATTTTAATTTTTACCCGATTTTCTCCCCAATTTAGTCGTCTCCAATTCCACCCGCTAGTTAGGACTCCCCCAATCACACGATGCTATCAACGCTAGGAGGGTGTAAAGCTTGATTTTAATATGTGGATTTTTAAACGTTTTAAGATGTATATGAGGTGAAATGCTGGTTAGCAGCCTTTTAGCATCCACCTTGCATATTACATTTTGACGGCAAAAGCAAAACAACTTCAGGAAAAAGGACGCTGGGTTATCCATAAAATAAACCTGTGTTGAAGTGTATAGGCTGACATTTGCTTTTTTAAACATCATCAGCACCGGGCCGATACGTATTTATTGCAGGCCAAAAACCCACTGTTAACGTTTAGGCGATGATGCACTACAGCAGCGAGGCTAAAGTCTTTCACACACACCCTGCACACCAGCAAAACCCGCAGTGACTCTGGTAACTCCGTACATAAAAGGTAGGATGTTCCGATAGTTTAAAAAAAAAATAATAATAATTAAAACTACAAAGCTGAAGTTCCAATTTTCACCGGCACCGCCAGGGAGGGCCAATAAAAGCTTGGTTAAAATTCATTTTTACGGCCTACTCATATAAAGCAAATGAAATAAAGCATTCAGCATCACTTATCACCTCTCCACAGACTAGCTGGCTTTGACCTGAAAGACAGGAGCTGAAAAAGGCTAGGATAGTAACGTTAGGTGAGGCAACTTACCGTTAGCATCTGTCTGTTTACCTAAAACACTGTCTGCCTTTCTCTGTGTAAATTTCAATCCACATGTGATCTACTGTGGCTTTATGTGGTCTCAATATGGCTTTAATTTTATGGAGTAAGGGCAAAATGCTGAGGAATTGAACAGCGCTGGCCTCGTGTCAAATTCTGACTCACCCAGGCATATAGATGCTACAAATTACAGTCATGATTCGTTCAATTGTTTGTGTGTGAATATGGGTTAATGTTGAATTTACCTTCACAGTAAGCACCAGAACAGGAACTAAAGCCAAACAAAGAGTTTCACAATGATAGTTTAATCTAATGCAACAAACTAAAGATGACTGTCGCAGCACTTGGGGGACTGAATGCCTTTCAGCCGTAACGATAAGTATTACAATAAGTATTACAAGAATACTTTAAACACAGTTTAAAGCTGTGCATACCTCCATTAAAAACAACAGTTTTGAAATTCTTGGACCCAGCGTGATGCGGCGTGTCTGGTGGCCTTCGCGCTGGCCATTATGGAAGGCAGTATTGCATCTCTACATCCATGTAAAATATCGGATATCGGCTGATATGTACATGTTTTGGATATCAGCATTGGTCCAGAATTCTCATATCTGTGCATTCCCAGTGTAAATACCTAAGGTGTGAGCAAGAGATGGACAGTGTGTGCGCGCACACGCAAATAGCTCCATCAACTGCCTCACGCGTATTAACATGAACTCGGTTTTCAGTGTAAACTGAAATAACCAATACGTGATTATATTAAAAACTGAAAATGTGAGAGTAAAGTGAGGAGAAGAAAGGAGGTTGTCAGCTGACATGCATGCAAGCCAGAGCGGAGGTGATGACAGGTGTTTTCGCTTGATGATTAGTCAGAATGGCGGAGGGAAAACATGCAAAGATATTACTGGTTAGTATTTTTTCGTTGCTGAAGGAACACTGACACAACCAAATGTCAGATGGCATTTTGCATCTAATGTTGCGTAAAGGTATCAAGTTTTATTAATTTGTTATTACTAGGGGTGGGAATCTCTAGGCACCTCACGATTCGTTTCGATTACGATTCAGAGGGCTGAGATACGATTATTAAACGATTATCGATGCATCTCGATATATATATAGCATTTATATATTTTCTCACTGTGTGAGCTCAAGTTTCGAGTTCGAGTTTCAAGTTTATTTGTCACTTATACAACATGTCAGGACATTTATGTTTTGAAATGCTTATGGCGAGGCTCAGGTAATCACTCTACAGAAAGTAAATAAGTAAAAATAAAAATACAAGAAAAACCAACTGAAATATATTAAATATACACAAAATATACAGAAGATATATACAGAATGTAGAGACAATATACATTTTTAAGTGACTCAGTGTTGTTATTAAAGTGACTTATACTTTTAGTACTTTTAAAGCAAAGTATTTGTAATGATCCATAATGAATTTATTTCCAATATCTTTTTTAATAAATCAAATGGAAGTGATGTGGCAGGTGAACTAGAAGGCTCTCATTCAGTGCTCTTGTTTGGAGCATGAGAAGCTGCTGCTACTCATCTGCGATAAAATGCGCAGTTACGGTGAAATAAGATAGCACATGTTAGCGCAGCACATGTTACAGCTATTCTACCCGTTTTCTTTAGTGATTTTATAACTTGGGTTTTGGTCTCGTTGTAGAGATGGGGGGGATCGCTGTGTCAGTAAAATATCTTTGAGACGGGTTGTGTGCAACATAGCGCGAAAGCCCTGTTTCGCAACGACTGAGAACCGTCGTGCGGACTGCAGGTCATCTAGCAGCGATGTGTTATTCGCATTTATAAGCAGCGCAGTTGGTTTCCTGGTAGGTTAAATCTGCAACGAGAGACTGTCACACACTAAAAAGTGGCAAAGCTGAAGTCAGCTTCTCTTTCGAATTCTCCCGTTCCACCTTAAAAGGTGCCGCATTTACATTCGGCTCCTCAGTTAGAATTTAAGGTGGAACGGGTAAATTCGAACAAGAAGCTGGAGAATAAGAAGCGACTTCAGCCTCGTAAAACAGTCGAACGCTGAGAGACTTTTAACTGATCTACTTCTGAGGAAAAGTTTTCTGGCGGAGATGGGAGGAAAGCGGCTATAGCTAAAGCTTAAAGCAGGGCGAAGTAAATCTGCGTTTTCGTTTATAATGTTTAGCCTATTCTAGGACATTATCACATACTGGACATTAAATGTTGTGGCTCCTAAGGTGGTCAAAATGGCTCTTCTTATAATTAGTGTTGTGACTCCTGATCTAACCTGGCTTTAATGCAGAGGGAGCCGGTTGGATTTCTCGCTCATCCAGTAGTGTTTTTGTTATGTGCCGCCACAGACTGTCCGGGCGCTGCACTTCCGCACTTCCAAGTTCCGCCTTTTGCGTTCCGTCAACATTACGGTATATATTAAATATTTAGAAAACTGATTTTTGACGTTTGTGAGTCGATTCAGAATCGTTCACGTCCGCATCGCGATGCATCTAAGAATCGATTTTTTCCCGCACCCCTAGTTATTACTGAAGTAAACAAAGCCCTTTAGCATAGAAATCTTATATTAGGACAAATACGTACAAGATCCACTTGTAAGCTACAGTTATATGCAAATATTAACTTGAATTTAACAACATTTCAAAAAAACTCATGGTGTTTTATATCTCTTGCATTCTGTCAACTTCTATAGTTTCTTCTAACGTGTGTTTCTGCAGGTCTTTCTGCTGCTATTCATTCAGCACAGCCCATCTGTACATCAACCAATCTAGCTACCCAACAATAAGCCTTAGAAATGTAATGTAATCTCCCAAACAGTGCAGCGTGAGCTCACCTTACAGACCCTCTGCAGGACCTCCAGTTTGCGCATGATGGAAGATATACATTCTGAAAATGTGGACTGAAACAGAATACAAAACACTCTTCCTGAGAAATTGGGGATTTGGGACAGCTGAAAGAGGAACCTGGACAGAAGAGAAGAAGGAGGGGGAAAAAGTTATCACTCCCAGCAGAGATTACTTCATAGGCCATACAAGTGTTGACTGTTTTTAATACTGTAGTATTCTTAAACTCCATAAGGCTCCATAAGGTTTAGCATTAGTGGGAATTAGCTAGTTGGCCAAAACTGGCACATTTATGTTGTTTAGTGTGCAGTCACCCTTAATAACAATAACTAACAACAATAAACTATTGTTGGAGAGAGTGAGAGATGAACACAGAGAAGAATCTTACTGTTCAGGCTTGTCCAGGGGTTTGGCTCCTTCCTTCTCCTTCGATGATTTGATGTGCTTGTCGATCTTCTCCACCTCCTCCGGCTGCGCTCTCTGAAACAGCATTACAGCGATTTTAACATCAGCACCAAAGAATTTATTCTATACACTAAAACACGTCAGATATTCACTAATACGGATACTCAGGGCTGATTCAGCTAATCAATATTTTACACTTTACAAATGCTGATATTGGGCTCAGAAGCATTAATATCCAAATGATATGCAAATCATGTAAACCATATTTTTAAAGTAAAATACTATAAAGACAACATATCAGATGTTGAAACTGAGAAAATTGTTTTTTTTTAAAAATACATGCCGTCTGGATGATTATATTGTATATATTGTTCAACATTAACAGTGCCTTCACAGATGCGTACATCACCCTTGCCATGTGCACTAATGCACCCCTATACCATCATAAATACTGGCTTTGAACTGTAAGCCGATAACAAGCTGAGTGGTCTTTAGCCCGGAGGACACAGTGACCATGATTTCAAAAAAAATTTAAATGTTGATTCATCACAGAACAGTTTTCCACTTCATCTCAATCCATTTTAAATAAGCTCCTGTTTATATATGGTTTCCTCTTTGTGTTTTAGAGTTTTAACTTGTATTTGTGGATGCAGTGATGAACTGTTTTCACAGACAGTGTTTTTCGGAAGTGTTTCTGAGCCCATGCAGTGATTTCCACTACAGAATCATGTCTGTTTCTAATGCAGTGCCACCTGAGGGCCCAAAGATCACGGCCAGCAAATACTGTTTTTTGCATGTAATTTTGGATGTGATTACTTGTAGTGAGCATGTAAACAGAGATTTTCCATCAGATTGTTGAGTAGAGTGAGATATAAACACCTCAGTCTTAATCTACAATCGGAATGTATTCAATAAGATTGGCAAAAGTCTTTGCATGTAAAGACAGCCAATGCTGTGTAAATAAGGCCCATTATCAACACTTCATATCAAAGCAAACCAGTAAAGCAATTGTATCATTGGCTTTCAATACAGACCAGACAACTACAGTGCCATAGCACATTATCACTGGCATGGAATAGAACAGTTTTAACCAATTATTTCATATTTGTTACAAAGTTAAGTAAGTTCAGTACTGGTGATGTCAAGTCATACAACATCTGCAGTTTGCTAATAACAGGCCAGATGGACATGCTATGAAGTCCTAAAATTAACAACTAGCAAAAGCTCCCAGTATGTGGGCCGCTATTGTTCAAATCATCATTCTGAAGCAGAGAATGTTGTGTTTTGTTGACTTCGTGATTGTGGAAGGAAAACAAGCCATCGTTGGTCCCTGCAGGAAACCCCACAACCCCATAAACCCAACAGAAAGCTGCATAGTCTAAAGCATTTCCTCCTCTGTGAGTCCTATAGCACGATACAAAAAATGTGGTCAGAGCACAAAATTGTGGAAAATGTGGCATTAAAAAAAACAACGTCAAATAGCCGCAGTTGACCGAGACGGAGATGAAAGAAATGCGGACAGACATTACTGTGGTCTGCACAATGCAAATGACTTTTCTAAAACAAACTGTGGAGAGACCCCAAGATCTCAGCTTCCATTTATCTATCTAAATCTTACTCTCTTCCCATTTGCTATTGAAGTATGAATTACTTCAGACAGAACATGCCTAAAACACAAACACTAATAATCATCACTGTCTCAATGGCACACCAATTCTAAATAGTTTAAAGTAGAATGTAGCATGAAGTCTGATCAATATTTTAGAACAATGTTGACCAATTTAATAGACTAAATAATATTAAACAGCTAGCTCTGACAGCGCAACCCAGATAGCGAGCATATATTAGCCTGCTGGCTTGATAAGGTCGGTACCCCACTGACAGTTTGCCACTGCTGGTCCACCCTCGGACCACCCAGATTACTGTTCTGCATACAAGCCCTAAGTAGTTGTTAATCTCCGCAAACAGATTTTAAATGCACACAGACTTTTATTTTAGAAAATTAATTTAGAAAAGAAATATTACAAACAACTGAGAGGGAAAAAAAAATGACCAGGCCTAATGTAAAATGATTTTATAGAAAATGTTGTTGAAGATTAAAATGACTAATTTACAAAGTAAGACTAAATTAAGGAAGGAAAGAAAAATAAGTAAATTGGACTGTAAAAATGAGCGATGGTAAGTGCAATGTGTCTAATACACTGTCGCCAATACCACTGGTGGGCCGTCCAGAAAACGCTGAGCAAAACACCAGTCGACCGCCAGCTCTGCCATCAGCAGGCCAACAGTGGTCCACTATCCTCATGCTATCCGGGAACCTGTTCAGAAGCGTTCTAGCTGTGAAACCGGAGTACCCAGAGGAAACCCACGCAGACACAGGGAGAACATGCAATAACAATAAATAAACAAATAAAAAATCTTCGCTGTTCATAAATTTTTCTGCTTAAATTAACCAGTAGTACCTTTTAACTTCATATGACATGCATGGGCACAGCAACATTACTTCACTGTTTAGGTATATAAGATATTATAATAGTAATTATACCACTACTGATGTTTAGATTTGACTCATATTTCAAATTGATACTTATTGATGTATTTACTGAACTCCAGAAGAGAAGAATGTTTAGGTCACACTGGGTCACTGTGGCAAAGGAAATATGCATTTTAGTCATTTATCTGCATTACATTACAGAATCCTACAGAAGTAATCCTCCTGTAATCCTACAGAAAAAAATGATAAGTGACATTTCTCCATAATGCTAATCCAGGTAGAATTCGTCCCAATTTCTACACTTTATAAATGCTAATATTACGCATACTAATCTGCTAACATTTTACACTGTTAAGATTAGTACACAGAGAAAGCAGTTCCACTGCTTCACAGCCCTGTGGCTGGGGGACTTTATACCCCTCTAGCTGACACACCGGCCATGGTGACCATAAGCTCATGTGCGGCTGCTCCCAATCTATGACACCGAGATCATACAAGCTCTGTGTGCAACTAAACTCCTGTGTCAGCAATGTGTGCACATTAAAGTAGCTAATTCCCTAATTAGAAGGGCTGTCTGTACTTTCGGGCAGCGTTTCAGCTTGAGACTAATCCAAAGCTTAACTAAACTACTGCAGAAGGAGCGTCTGCATCCATTAGTGATGAATGCTAAAGTCTGCAGCAGGGACAAAATGATGGAGGCCCCAAAGCCAACCGTTCTTCATCCTTCAAACAGCCTAATCAATCACGTTAAGTGGTGGATGCTCTGCTGCACTGAGACACAAGAGCTTCTCCAGACTTGCAGAGAGAAAGTAAACACCTCCGTAAACAACCCACTCCAACATCAAACAGACTGAGCCAGCAGATCCACACTGAGAGTACAGCCTCAATACAAACACTAAACTGATGATCAGAGAGAGAGAGAGCGAGAGAGAGCGAGCGAGAGAGAGCAGCAGTAAGAGCACAAAAGAATGTTAAAGAAGGGGAAAGAGGAAGCTACATAAAGAGAAGAGACAGAGAGAAAAGGAGCGAGAGAGTGAGAGAACAGACAGTATGAGAGAAGAGATGAGAAAAGCAAGAATGACAGACAAAAAAAAAGACAGGTAGAAAGAGAAGGAGGACACTGAGGGAGCTAAACCCGAAATGAGAGGTAGAGAGAGAGAGATAAAGAGGAGCGAGAAAGAAGAGAGGAAAGAGAAAGTGGGAGAGAGAAATGAGTGATAGAGGTTGAGAGAAAGAAAAGAGAGCAAGAGAGAGACTGAGAGAAAGGAGGGGGGAAAAGAGGACAGCGAGAGAGCGAGCAAGAGACAAGAGATGTAAATGCTTTGGTTTACAACGTCGGCTCACGTTTCCAGCGGCGGGCCTTGGATGTCGCTGGTGTGTGTGTGTACACACATGTTCCAGACGTTCTGTGTTTTTCTGAGAGTGTGACAGGGTGTGTGTGTGTGTGTGTGTGTGTGTGTGTGTGTGTGTGTGTGTGTGTGTGTATATATAGACGTGTGAATGTAAACTCTGGAAAAACACTCAGCTGCATTAAGCTCCATCACTGCATCAATCAAAGCCTCAAAGCTCCAAGGCTCAAACGCCACATAACTTCTCCACACTTCAAACGGCCGCATCAAACGCGCTGATTAGCATTCAGCTCACTCCGCCATCTGTCCGCAAGGGCACGTTCTGCTCTCCCGACAACAACTCGCACTGCAACTACTGCTAATGGGAAGCAGCCTCTCACACTTTAAAGGCATATTTCTGAGAAATATCTCATTTACACTGTTTCCCGTTAACCCAACTGTAGCCAAACCTCCCAGAAATATGTTTGGGGTTTGTTGTTTGTAGCTTATGTAGCTAACAAGTAACAGAAGTGTATGCAAACTAATTAGCATCATGCAAAACTGCATGCCTTAATCGTCACACTCACCTCAGACCACGCTGTGTTGGTGAATAGTTATAGCTGACTAAACAGATTTGTGTAAAAGAGTTCGAGATTACTTGTTCTAGAGCAGGGGTGTCAAACTTAACCACTAAAGGGGACATACTAAAAATCTCAAATCCGAGGGCCAGAGAAAAAAGTTTTAATTTTTTTAATTAACCTTGTGCTATAACCCCTACTGGCCATTGTTTATTCAAAATATGCAAAAAACTTCAGCAGTAAAATAGACACTTGTAGTAGACCTTGAAATATTACATGAATAATTGAAATATTCAAAATTTAAAGGTCCCCAGGAGCTCAGTCTTTCAATCCTACCTAACTGCTTGAACTTGACACCTGACATCCTTTGTTTGCTGACCACTTTCATATGTGGTCCTAGATCGGACACGTATCTGATTCGCGGCCATGCGACCTTAATGTGAACGCTCAGATCGGAATTCATGTGCTTATGTTTTCCACTGTGCGTGCGGCATCATTCAGCGTTACCATGGCAGCAGCGCCGAACAAAGTTAAAGCCTGTAAACAGTGGAAAAGCAGCTCATCTCACCTTTTTCACCTTTGTCTCGCTCTAATAATGAGCAGCTAAGAGCTGATCAGAGTTAATTATCTTCACAGCGAAGCTCGTTCTGCTCGTTAGTTTGTTTGCTGGTGACG